TGCTTTCGACGTCGGGTAAATCATGGAACCGACGTTGATTTTGGGATTTCAACGTCGGTTATACATAACCAACGTTAAATTTAAACATTTAATGTCGTCTGTCATCTAACCGACGTTATTTGTCCGTTACTACGTCGGATTTTTTATAACCGACGTTAAATATTGTTTCTTAATTACAAGTTTGCCACCGCGTCTTGTACAACGTCGGTCTTCATAAAAACTGACGTTGGATGTTGTCGTAGTAAGTGTTTTCTGTAGTAGTGTGTCCTTTTGAATATAATGTAATAGTATAGTGATTTTGAGTTTGCACTGAAAATATTTGATATTAAGTCTCATTTTGATAGTTCAAGTTAGTTGTTTGGATGAACAAAATTTTATTTTGACGAATAAAAAAGTTTAGGATAAATCTTTTATCAAGTGTTATTTGAGATAAAATAGTTGTGAAAAAAAAAACTACATCTCGAAAGGGGTGTTACAGCTAGCCTCTATAGGAACTACATCACAAATGACCATAACTTCATAATTTCCAATGGAGAATATAATCTCAACATGCTTGTCCACCTTTAACTCTCCTTCCTCACTTAACCATTGTAGTTTATATGGTCTAGGATGAGGTTTAGTTTCTAAGTTCATTTTTGTCCCCAATCTCGTGCTAACAACATTTGTGCAACTCCCTCATCTATGATCAATGAACACATTTTTCCTTGAATAAAACACATAGAATAGAAGATGTTTTCTATTTGACTCTCTACATCTTCCTTTGAAATTTTACCAAGTATCTTCCTAACAATAAACAAGTCTCTCTCTTGAATAATTTTCTCCTCATTCTCACTCTCTTTTATACTTGATGATTTAGAATTGAAAGATTCACTAGTGTAGTCTCTATTCTCCTTAAGGAACATTGTCTTCTGAGTGAGACATTTTGAAGCTATATGTCTCTCCCCAAGTACTTAACATTTTACCTCACTACATCTAGTTTTCTTTTAGCTCATTGGACTTTGAACATGTCTTTTGAAACCCACCAATGGAATTGTTAGAAGAAGAACTTCCCTCCTTATTGTTCCTTTCCTTCCAACTTGAAGAATCAAAATTACAAGAACTCTTCTTCACTCCCTTTCTTTTAAATTATTGTTCTACCTTGGTAGCTAAATGTACCACTTTCTCAATCTCTACCCAATGATGTAATTCTACTACATCTCTAATATCAGGATTCAACCCTTGCACAAAACGAGTCATTGTTATTCCTTCTCTTCATTCATATTAATTTTAATCATGCATATTTTCATCTCCATAAAATATTTATCAACACTCTTTCCTCCTTGGGTGAATCATACCAACTTGTCTCACATCTCACATTGATAATGTGAAGGAACAAAACACCTTCTCATAAGCCTTCTCATCTCCACCCAAGTATCCACCTCAAATTCTTCGTACCTTATTATATCTCTTCAGAATTAATCCCACCAAATTAAAGCTTAATAAAAAAAATCTCATTGCATCCACCTTCACCTTCTTTTCTTCACTATAATCATGACAAGCAAATAGTTACTCAATTTTTTTTTAATCTAAGTATGCTTTCGGGTCACTTTTCCCATGGAATGTGAGAATAATCAGTTTCACTCCAATTCTATCATCCCTACGATACCTTCCATTATCTCTTCTTCTCCTATTCGCCTTTTATCTTCATTTGAAATTCATTTATCATTATTCATTTGATTTTCTAGTTGTTCAATTCTTCCAAAGAGTGTTCATTATTTTCTCTCATCATCCTTTGCATTTGTACACTCAATGATAGTTCCACTCATGTTTAGATTCAATTGACTTTTAAGGAAATGTAATTCTCTTGTCTTTTTTCCTCTTCCTTTCCCTTAAAGTTCTTACTTGAATCAACAAGTCTTTTTCAAGCAAAGATGGAAAACTGCAGCAATGAACTAAGAACTCACCAGACAAAATGAAGTAGTAAAGGGAAATTTTGTTACTAATAAAAAGAAATTATAGGAAATTACTAAGGTATGATCAAACTTTAGAAATAAAAAGAGAAGACAATAAACACACAAGCTAGACACTAAGAGAAAAGAACAAAATAAAGATAATGAATTGGGTTTGTTTTGAGTTTCTAAGTATAGATATACTTTAACCATTCCCATTATATATATATATATATATATATATATATATATATATATATATATATATATATATATAACATGTTTGTTTTCCTACAACAATATTTTGTTTTTTTTACTCCCACTGATTCAAAATTTGAAGTATTTCAAGCACTCTCATTGATTCCAAATTTGCAATATTGCAAACACTAAACACCAGAATTCAATAAACCCAACTTTTATAGATCAAAATAAATGGTTTTCCCAATTTGATCAAGAAAAAAGATGACACAAAGAACATATGCAAAATAAACAATTTTTGAAAGATGAGAATAACACATAACCTTTGATTAAACAAACAAATAGAATCAAAACAAAGATTACAAACAAATACTTAACTGAAACATAAATTACACGTTTTAGGTAAACGTGTCAAAATAGGCTTAATCTAATAGATCATCTCGAAAGACTTGAGAAATAATTAATTTTGAATAATAATTAATTTTTAAATAAAAATAAAAAGATTTTATTAAAAGATATATATGTATTTGATAAAAATTCACATATTTTAAAAGTAAGTCTCTATAATATCCACTTATTTTATGATTTAATGGTAATAAATTACTATTTTATGTCAATAAAATTAATGAAAAAAATGAATGATGGTGATAATAATGAAGAGTCAATTTTTAAATCTTATTTTAGGAATGAATGAATATATTTTTTAATTTATAATTAAATCATTATATATCTAAAGTAAAATTAATTTAATTAATATAATATTAATTTTAAAAACATAATTTTATTTTTATTTTAATATTTTTTTAATTAATTATTTTGATATAGATACATTAATAATTCTCTTAAATTTTCAATTAGGCCAAGATTGGTTTATTAGTATGTTGGCCTAACATAGAGTTAGGTTAGACCAAAGTTTTTTGTCCTGTTTTAAAGTATAGATCAAATTGAGTCATCAATTTTTTTTTATTTGGCATGTAGGGTCAAGTCATACTCGAATCGAGTCGTTCGTTTTGACAGTCCTAATTCTAGGGTTACCAAAAACATAGAACAATTTTGAATCCTAAAAAAGAGCTCAACTCACCAAATGATGAAAATTTCCCAAGCAAAATGGATAAAGGACCTGTCTAGGATAACAAAATATAGCAAATAGCTCCGAATTGAGTGTTATCAAAGGAAGAGGAACAATGATATTCTGAATTGTGATTTAGGCTTATCAAACACAAAATATGACCTAGTATTTTGGAATATATGAGTGTGATCTAATTTGAACAAAAATAGGAAACAAACAACAAAATGAGTTAACTTTAAAATTTGGGGAAAAAAAATAACAAAACTTACAAGGATAAGATGATGACTATAAAAACCATTAAATTGAAGAGTTTGACAAGTCCATTGAAAATTCTTAATAAAATTAATGGTTGAAGTAAAAATTCTAAGAGCTCAACTCTAAAATTTAAAATAACATTTTGTCTTTTTTATTCAATTCCAAAATTATAAATACAACTAATTTTTACACCTCTAAAATCAAATAAAAGAAAATTAAAATCTCAATAATTTAAGCATATGAAGCATGTCTCAATGATTAAGTGGAACATACTTAACCTTGATGTCATGTTTAAATCATGCCTATAAATATTATAAATATTTTATATATTTTTATCAAATAAATATTCATAAATAAAATTTAAAATTAAACCCATAAAAAAACTAAGTATAATAATTATGTGTATTATTTTTCATTCAAACTAATAACAAAAGTTATTATCTTTTTTCCTCATTGGGTTAGATGATGCAATTGGTCTTCCATTAGATAAATAACCATATAGTACAAAACTTGGTAGGTCTCTTAACTCTTCCTATTAAAGATAATTTTCCACGTAATTAAATATAAACCATATATACTTATATTCAATTAACAAATCAAAATCAGATTTATATACAAGATTTCTTTCAAATTAAAAAAAAAATCGATTAACAAAGAGTATATAATTAAAAGTATCATACATTTAGAGAATTTTATGTTTTGAAAAACAAAATATTTTCAAAGAAAAACACAGCGTGACAAATTTTAGGAATATTCAACTTTACAAAACACTATATTTTAAGATATTTTATGCGTTGATTTTTTATGTTTTATATATGAATGAATTTTCATAAAGAACTATATTTAAAATTTAACATGCACTTAAACGAAGCTTCATACGAAACCAAATCGGAATTTATGAACATTATTATATCAGACACTTTTTTTTTCTCATGTCATAAATAGTGATTTTAAATTTGTAAAACGTTTTCTATCTTCTATTTGAAATAACTCTACCACTATAATATTATCATATTTTAGTGTAACAGCAATTCAAAACATTTACAATGTGATACACAAATTGGGAGATATTATTAAAAAGAATATTACATTTATCCATAAAAAAAAAATTACTTACTAAGATTATAAACATCTCTTAACATAGATGAATCCGATAAATAGTTTATATGTAAAAGATGAAAACCAATAAACACTATTCTAAAATTTTTAAATATATATATAAAAATCTTTCGGACTAATCAACTAATAAATAAAAAATCTTAACCAACTTACAAAAGAATTTCTGAAAGTTTGAAACATTTTAAACTAATATTATAATAATTAAAATAAAACGGACAAATATAAGTGGTTGACTGTTATTTTACTGAACTGACCAACGTCTTATTCATCCATATCCCATATTCGTCCCACTCCATTACAGCACAGCACACTTATCAGCTCCGAACTTCGCTTGGACAAAACTACCCTCACCAGTGTCCGATCATGGCACGCATTCGTATTATTACTTCTCACTCTCTCCATTCGCCACTTACACACATCAACCAACCACGATGGCTTCTATGGCATTACTCCGCCGAAAGCTTATCATCACCCGCACCACACTATCCCAATCCCACGTGCGCGCACGACCCTTCTCCCACGCCAACAACAACAAACACCGCATCGAGAAGATTCTAGTAGCCAACCGCGGCGAAATAGCTTGCAGGATCACGCGCACCGCGCGGAGACTCGGCATTCAAACCGTCGCCGTGTACAGCGACGCCGATAGAGACTCGCTGCACGTGGCCTCGGCCGACGAGGCCATCCGAATCGGACCTCCACCAGCGCGCCTCAGTTACTTGAACGGAGCCACCATCGTCGACGCAGCCATTCGCTCCGGCGCACAGGTCAACGCTTCTTCACTCCCTTCGGTTTTCCTCTTTGATTAATTGATCTAATCGAATGATGACACGTGTGATTCGGTGATTAGGCTATTCACCCTGGGTATGGATTCTTGTCCGAGAGTGCTGACTTCGCCAAGCTTTGTGAGGACAGTGGTCTCACCTTTATAGGGCCTCCTGAGTCTGCAATTCGGGACATGGGCGACAAGAGGTACTGTAGAGTTAAATTTCATTATGATGTGTTATGAATGCGTTTTCAGCTTATCCAATTTATTTTCATTATCTTATTTTATTTTGTTATGGGTTATGGCAGTGCATCGAAGAGAATAATGGGAGCTGCAGGGGTGCCTCTTGTGCCCGGATATCACGGAGATGATCAAGATATTGAGAGAATGAAGTTGGAAGCTGATAAGATTGGATATCCAGTCCTAATTAAGCCAACCCATGGTGGTGGTGGAAAGGTGCTTCCAATCTTGCTGTTCACAACTTATTCCGTTTCATGATCCTTCATGTAGTTGCCGGGGTTTGCTACATTTCTTTATTTTCTAGTCAACCATATGAGTACTCTCTCAGCTGGATACTTATTAATAGAACATTGAAATGCGTTGTTGCCTTGAGAATTTAGTCTGAACGGTGAAGGTTTTTGCCATTCCCTGTGGTTCTAATCTCAAATTCCTTATGATGGTTTTAAATTGCTGTGATTCTGAATTTGTGTACAGCTTGGTCATCTCCTTTTCATTGATAGGTGATAACTTAATGCGGATCATTATTATGATGTGTGGTAACTCATTTAGGTTTGTTTCTTATTGTTTGAGAGCCTGCAAGTTTAGTCTGAGAATTCTGGATTCCTTTTATGGGCAAAATAGTAGAAAGAGAAATTATTCTGAGAATATTTGTTTCTCTGTGCTTACCGTTTCATTCTGTTGAATTTGGAGAATGTTAATATTGTAGGGTATGAGAATTGTGTACGCTCCAGAGGAGTTTGTTGAATCGTTCCTAGCAGCACAACGGGAAGCAGCTGCTTCTTTTGGTGTCAACACCATATTGCTGGAGAAGTATATTACACGGCCAAGACATATAGAAGTCCAAGTATTATGCTCATTTTATTGCTTTACTGTCATATTTCTTGAAATCTTCATTGGTTCCTTACACTTATTCTGGAAAAATTAAAAGTGCCTGGATAGTCTTTAATCCTGAAATTATGTTTTTACTTATTTCAGAATTTTACTGGAACAATTACATTAAAATACAGGCACCAATAAAAAATGTCACATCTCACTGATAAGATTTTATTACAGATTCTTTTCTGTTTAACAATGTAGATATTTGGGGATAAGCATGGGAATGTTCTGCATTTGTATGAGCGAGATTGCAGTGTTCAGAGAAGGCACCAAAAAATTATTGAAGAAGCTCCAGCTGTATGACTTCCATTTCATGTCTTTAATATTTAATTTCTCTTTTTCAGATTTTTCCGTAATTGGAACTTGTAATATGCAGCCAAACATTTCTGCTGACTTTCGTGCACACTTGGGTCAAGCTGCTGTTTCTGCAGCAAAGGTAAGGTCCTTTTATTTCAAAAGCTAAACTGTACTTTCTCAGCCTCTTGCAATAGCTTCAGCGTTCAAGGATTTGAAATAATTGGTACATTGATTTCTTCTGTGTATGAAAACCTTTAAATAACTTGTATTCTTGACCAAATTGATTTAGAATTTCATTGACAATTTTTCTTTTCCATTCTATATCATCCACTGATTTCATATTTCTTTCTGATGGCTGAAGGCAGTTAATTATTACAGTGCTGGAACTGTGGAGTTTATAGTTGATACAGTCTCGGATGAGTTTTACTTCATGGAGATGAATACACGTCTTCAGGTACTTGTATTAAGTTTTACCGTCACTTGATTCTAGAATGAACGCATACAAGAGTATAACATGGGGAATGTTATTACAGGTTGAGCATCCTGTCACAGAAATGATTGTTGGGCAGGATCTTGTTGAATGGCAAATCCTTGTTGCCAATGGAGAAGCTCTTCCATTGAGTCAATCACAGGTACCCATATCAGGTGATGCTGCTTTTCCTATCTTTATTTTCTTCCTACCCGTTTTTCATTTTTTGTGTGGGGTGAGGGTGGGTTTGAGGGTTTATTGCTTAATTCCATATTAAAAAAAATGATGTTTTAATGGATTAGAATTGACACTTGAATCAGTATTTGTTCAACTAAAAATACGTGCTTATATTATACACATTTGGTTAGTTTCTCAGCTACTTAGTCAAAAGACAGAAAACATCACTTCAAGTATAAAATAATCTGTATAACTGGTATTAATAGGTTTAAAGATATTATTTTTTTCTTATTGTAAACTAGGGTGATTGGAGGTCATGTATAAGTACTCTGCAAGACGAAAAAAACAATTACATATATTTATGACTAATTACTGGAGTTCATCTTAGTGATTTCCTCTGAAATTTTACCCGAAAATGAGGCAAATTGATCTGGAATTTCTGAAAATAAAAACCGAATAGAAAATTTCTAGAAATAGATAGCTGATGATTTTAGGTTTCTCAACTATTTATTATACTATTTTGAGAATGTGTGTAAAGTTCGAACCATCTATCATGCAGACACTTTCAAGTTTTTGTATATTATAATTCTTTATGTGATGGCATTGGCAGGCCATGCTTTTGAAGCTCGAATCTATGCTGAAAATGTTCAAAAAGGGTTTCTGCCAGCAACTGGAGTTCTACACCATTATCATGTTCCAGTCTCATCTCAAGGTCAGACAAGCAAATCTCACCAACTAATTTATTTATGGTGGATCAATAAATTTTCCACACTGCTTTGTTTGAAGAGATATGAAATGCCAATATAGATTTCTGGATCTTTCTTTTTTTACTTACTGAAACTGTGCTGTTTTTGGCAGTTCGGGTGGAGACTGGAGTTAAACAAGGAGACACTGTTAGCATGCACTATGATCCTATGATTGCTAAGCTTGTGGTGTGGGGAGAAAATCGTACTTCTGCCTTGGTCAAAATGAAGGATAGTTTGTCAAAGTTTCAGGTATACTAAAAATTTTTGTATTGCCTATGCCACAGTGAACTGGTGGTTGAGATTTTGCAGTAAATTGACTTTTTCTGTGTAGAGATGTTATATTAGTTACCCTTTGTTAGATCCTATATTTACAACCTTTGGGACAAGGGTGGACATGGATCTGATGGGGTGATAAAGTGATCGGACATGTAAGAAACTAAGGATGTTTTTGGGTTGGGTTTTGGAGAGAACGGGAGAAAGGCCAAGTTTTTATTTTTAAATTAAGAGAGTTATGTCATGTTTATAAAAAGTAAGCAAAGCCCCTTCAAAAGTCAACTCCTAAACACACACCCTACCTAAGACATTTCATCATCCTTCCCATATACAATAGAGATTCAAGTAGTTTTAAATAAATAAATAAATTCTAGCTGTATTATGACATTTTAAAATGGCTCTGTTTAAATTGCAAATATCTTCCTCCGCAGGTTGCAGGTTTACCAACCAATGTCAACTTTATTCTAAAGCTAGCTAATCACTGGGCATTTGCAAATGGCAGTGTGGAGACTCATTTTATTGATAACTACAAAGAAGACCTCTTCGGAGATGTTAACAATTCAGTAACTGTCAAAGAAGCATACGAAGCAGCTAGACATAATGCATCCCTTGTGGCCGCATGTCTCATTGAGAAAGAGCATTTCATACTGGCGAAAAACCCCCCTGGTAAGCTGTCTCATTCTTGCTGTTTAACGTACTAAGTTGTTTTTGTTTATTTCCTTGGTATTTACATCTCTATTTTCAGGGGGCAACAGTTTACTACCTATATGGTATTCTTCTCCACCTTTTAGAGTTCATCATCAAGCTAAGCGTAAAATGGAACTCGAATGGGATAATGAATATGATAGTGGTAGCTCAAAGACCATGAAACTTGCCATTACCTATCAGCCTAATGGAAGATACCTGATTAAGGTACTGTATTAAAAAGCAATTTTCCTGTTAATTTGTGCCGCAAATTATTTAAAAAGTGGATTCAAGATTATGTTGTTTGTTTCTTCCAGACAGAAGAATATGAATCTCCTGTTTTAGACCTCAAAGCATCATATGTAAAAGATCACTATTTTAGAGTTGAAGCTGCTGGTGTATTCAATGATGTTAATGTAGCCCTTTACTCAAAGGTAAGTGTTTTCCACAGCATAGATTATTTTTGAGTTTATGTGTATTGATTTGGTTAAAACATTTTGCTGTCTTGTCCATCTTGATTGTCTAATACTATTCTTAAGCTTATAAGGCAATTTTGATTTTCCCTGAAATTCAGGATCAAATAAGGCATATTCATATTTGGCAAGGATCCCATCATCATTATTTCAGAGAGAAGCTAGGCCTGGATCTGTCTGAGGATGGACAATCCCTAGATAAACCCAAAGTTGAAGCATCAGTTAACCCTCGAGGGACAGTTGTAGCACCCATGGCAGGCTTGGTAGTCAAAGTTCTAGTGGAGAACAAGGCAAGAGTGGAGAAAGGTCAACCTGTGTTAGTATTAGAAGCAATGAAGATGGAGGTTAGTACAATTTCTTTGTGAATGTTCGAAACTTCTCTCTTTATCTGCTTTATTTATATATTCAGCAAGTTATATAACCAACAACGTTATGTACTTCTTCTAGCATGTTGTAAAGGCACCATCTTCTGGTTATGTGCATGAACTTCAAGTTACGGTAGGTGAACAGATTTCAGATGGCAGTGTTCTTTTCAGTGTAAAGGTTAGTTAATTACCTTTGTTATTTTTTGCATTGGCCAGCCTGGTTATACTAGCAATTCTGTTGCTTTCATGTTTCAGTGTATGATTGCTTCACATTGTTTCAATTTTATTCTCTTTATTGTGATTTGATGTTTATTTCTTTTTGTGGCAATGACTAATGATACTCAAGAGTCTGCTTGTTTAAATAGGTAAATAACAGCGTAGATGGAAACGTCAATTTTTCATATTCTGTCTTCAAATAAATTATTTTTCTCCATCATTTTCATTTTCCACGTATCCAGACAAGCTGACCCGTACTAAATTAGATATGTTTCTTTGGCAACATTTTATATGTTTAATTAGCATTTCTCATTATATTTTATTAACATTACTGAATCTGGTGAGAAAGTAGGTTACTGACTTTTGCTACTGATTTATTCTAGAAAATATGTACAAAGTACTAGCGATGTACTAGTTTCTTTATGTCCATTTTTAATTTTAGCTGTCATATCATACAATTAAATACCTCTTTTGTTGATGTATCTTGTCTGATAAACTGGTCTGTAGTGTAGCTATGAAGTATGAATACCAAAAAAATAATAGTCGTGTTCATGTACAGACACATTGGACAATACAGCGTAACTTGGCATTATAAATTCTAACGAGCCACTTCATATTTTGTTGGATATTTGTGTCTCGTGTTATTAGTGGCCACGCTTCTTAGATTATCAGTAATGTTGATGGTGGTGTTTGGGCAGGATCAATAAAATCTCACGTGGATTACAGTTTTTACCTTACGCCAAGATTTTGGCAAGAGGGACTCTATCTGGATCGATACTTACACGTGGGTGGACAACCGAACACCTGGATTACTTGCTTAACAATCTTTGTAACTCAATTTTACACACTACAGTAATGCAAATAGTTCCTCCAGTCAGGTTTGGTTCATGTTTTAATATTCTTACATCAGTCATATCCCCTTCTATTAAGGTGAGAGGGATGCACACACCCCTAAATAATGTGGTAGTCGGAAGACCATATTCCAACTTAAAAATCCAAGATTCGGTTCAGATCTTGGGGAAACAAGGGCACTACTAATAAATGAAGAGCCAACAACACTTTCACATCTTTGGTCTAATAATATTTAACAACGTTGTTTTTCACGCTATTGTTTTGTTCGAGTTTCAAAGGAAACTTAAAAACTTGAAAAAAATAAAAAATAATATATATAACAACTTGCCATTATAAAGTGGTCTGATTAGCATAAATTCGTCACCTGCCTGTTGTGTCCATACTTGTTCTGAGCTCATTGCTTGCCCGATTAATAGGTGAGATTTTTATCAATAAATTGTTTAGGGATCGAGACTAGGTATATATGAGCTCTCCTTCAGCTTGCAAAAAAGTTACTCCCTAATTCAATTTTAACCTGAAGACTGACTGAAGTGATTGATGGTCGTCGGATCAGTACAAACTTTGATGCCATTTTCTCTTCAACTCTGTCTTTAGTTTATCACTTTGAATATAATGTCATTACAACAAACTTCAATTTAAATACTTACAGAAGAAAATAAAGAAAAATTAAATAAAAACAAAACAAACATTAATTTTATTATTATGTAAAGAATCCAATAATAATAGATTGGAGTGATGATAACAATGATAATAGTAATAATATTTAATAAGTTATTTTACATTTTATTCTTTGCATTAAAAAATACTTATTTTAACATCTATATATTCACTTTTTAATCATTTGATTCTTTGCATCTAAAAAAATACTTACTTTAACATCTATATATTCGCTTTTTAATCTTTGTCAAATAGATTAAAATATGTCTAGCTAAAACAAGTTAATAAAAAAACTCTGCCTAAAACCTAAACCGAATTATGCTTGGATATAAAGGCTAAAATTATAAATTTATGCAAGTGCAGCAGGTAAACTAACCTAAATATCCCATGGATTAATTACGGCAGAATTACTTAACTCACTTCTAATTGTTATTTAACATCATGAAATTCAAAAACTTCAACAAATTCTCTGTCCAATAATATATAATCAATAAGAAGTTAGAAAGAATCTCACAATTGTCTCCTAATTTAAAAAAAATGAAAAAAAAATGTTGTTTACATAGTAATTGCAACACCAATGGTTTCAAAGGCAAAATTATACGAAAACCAACTCTCAGATTGAACCCCTAACCAATTCTCACAGATGCCCTTAGTTAATAATATTCTAAAATTGAAAAAAAAAATAGCTTGATTAATGTACTGTATCCGTAACTCTTGATATAGTCTCACGTCTGAAAGCCTAATTATATAATCCAGTCACAGTCGTATAAACATTATTAAACATAAGATAAAGAAATATTTTTCCACAACAATATACACTTGTCAATATATCTACTCTCACTTACTTAGGCGTCGGAATGTTTTTCTTACAAATTCCCTATATATCACACAACGTCAAGAACAGAATACTAGAAGGTAAACCCAGTTTGTGTTCCGCCTTACAAAAACAGTTAAAAAATCACCTCAACAGAATGAGTTAAACACCAGAAGAAACACTTCCTCCAAAACGAGTTTTTGCATAATTTTTTCTACAACACCGAAGGGCATAATTAACCCCTAATAACTTCTGTCATGTTTTAAACCACGACTACATGTTACAACTAGTCTTTTTCGGCAGAAGGAAATGAGATTGTCTTTGTAAAGCAATATGTGTGGCAAATCAAGCATCAAACCCCGAATAGATACCATTCTCTCTCAACAGCCTCTTCTCTTCTTCAACATAATTTTTGCCCCTGCTAGCTTGACCCAGTTCTCTCTTCCTCTTCTCCTTCTGAGAGAAAGAAAGATTCTTCTTGTCATTCCTAGTCAGAGCAGCTGGCAGCTGCTCTCCTTGGGAAATAGCCTCCCTTGTTTTCTGTCGCTCTTCATATGATTCTTCAATCTCCTTGTCTACACGCTTTTCTTTTCCTGTGGACCACGACCAATCTTGCTTCGAGTCATCCCCTTCTTTGGGTGCGGGTACTTTTAGAATTGAAGGTCCACCTCTATACCCGTGTCTCTTCAGAGCCTCAAAGTCAATTACACCACTTTTCTGCTTCCTAGATTTACCTATAGACATAAGATTCATAAAACTAGTAAAGAAGTACCAAACAGCGACAAAATTACGGAGAAAACTTTTAAAAGCTAAATGATAATCTCGAGTATTTTCATGAACTAACACCATGTCACCAACTATAGTCACGTCAAGTAAGGATGAAATACTGTGAATGAAGGTTTAATAATTCTGATATTCTCATTTCTGTTTGCCGGAAAATTTCTATTCAAGATGTCAACGAAACTCTTACAATAATTTATGCGAAGCCATAGTTCACAAAGTTAATTGTGTACTTAAATTAGTCAATCTATTTTTATGCATGTACGATGGACATAAATCAGAATAAACTACTATAATTGACGCTAGCAATAGGTAAGAGTAATGTTTAGCGGACACCCAACGCCCATAATACCTAGGGATATAAAGGAAATAAAAGAGAGAAGTATATGTAATAGAATATATGATATGAAAAAAAGAGATATACAAATATGGACGTGTCAAATAGGTGTTTGTAATAGTGGAGTGTCCATATATTATTACCCCAATGGGTACGTCCTCCCAAAAACTTTGTCAATCGGCAACTGCATAGTGACAGAGAACCATCTTGCACTAACTCAACTTGGGGTTGAGGGTGGGTTTAAACCCTCAACAACTGAATCTACGTCAGTAATGACACACATCAGTTAAAAACAAACAATCGCTTCTACAGTAGGGCATAATCAAATTCTGTCAATTATCTACCATAAGATTATCCCTCAGTTTTTTTTTTTTTTGCTTTAGCCAATACTTCTAAAGCTATTAGAAGCCTACCGTGCAAGTATACGTTAGGCAAAGGATACATAAAGTGATTCATTAGTGTAATTTTACAAGAGACATTTCTTCACCCTTGGTGAAGCCCAATGTACCCTTCTCCATAAATTCAGAAAATTCCATAGCAACATCCTAAGGTTAAGCGTCAATCCACATTCTAGGCACCAAGACGATAACTGTAACAACAAGAAAGATAATCCAATCGCTATCTATGTTGAGAATTTTATCAGATATACCCACAGCACAAAACACAAAACATGGGAGTGCGACAAGCACCTTGCACGTGATCAATTAGAGTACATTTGTCAAGATACTCTGTGCACCTGCCACTCCCTTAAATTATTGTCATAAACAAGCCAATTGTATAACTTTCACATTGCATCAAAGTTGAGCAATCAGCAGAGTGATAAAAACCACTAGACAAAGAGAAGAGGATGTACATTAAATAATACCTTTGGAGTTTTCCCCTCCAGTTTCACTATCATGTTCAGAGTCTGAATGTGAAGATGATGACTCATAATCGTCACTCCATGGCATAGTCCTCTTCATAGTACGGATAATGCCACAGCACAATCACCACGAATACAAACAAGGGTTCAAGCCCCGATGATGCTACTCTGCAAATTAAAAGTGAAAGATGCCAAGCTCAAATACCGCTCAACAGACACAACAACGGGTTCAATCTGAGAATAAAAATTTGAAATTCAAAAAGAAAACAAAAGAAAAAGTGATAAATTATTAGAAGCTAAGCTGAGGTTGCCCTCAAAGTCGCAGACTGATGAAGTTTTTTAAGAAACTGTGCAAAAACAGAGAACTAAGCATGCGCGTGCTGTAAGTAACAACAGGGGAATTCAGCGTTGATGAATTTTGGGGAAAAAAAGGGAAAGAAGAAAGAAAGCATAAAGCTGAAAAAACAAAGTACCGAGGAAAGGGAAGTGAGAGAAAGAGTAGCGCGACACTGTTAGGTTGTTGTTGGTGGCTGCTTTCAGAATCGGAATTTGGATTCTGATTGCGCCCTCTGCTACAAACCCCCTTCTAGGGATTTCTCAGCTACGAATTTAGGTCTCTTCAGTTTCCACGGCATAATCATAAACTAAAATTCTATCAATAACCTAATCTCATGACAAAAATATAAAACTAATTATCAATTAATTCTGAAATTGCAATAGTTAGTTCAAATTTAATGAAATATTGAATTGTCTTTGGATTTGTATATTATTTTCAATTTTTTTTTAAATTAATCAAGAATCAATTCAGTCTATAAATTAAATGATAAAATATTTTATGAAATTATTAATTTAGTGCCTAAATTGATACTAAAATAAAAAAAAAGGTTTATACTTCTTGGCTTAGAACTTTTAAAAATCAGTAAATTTTGTTCCTAAAATTGTTTTCACATATTTTTACCCATAATTGGCATAATTTCATGAATATTGTGCTAACGTTATTTAATCATTCCTAGTATTTTAATGTTTAATATGATAAGAATTAAACTAATATTAAGAAGTTTACAATATTCAAACAAGCTACACTACTTGCTATTCTAACAACGATATGCTAGTATTGATATGTTTAAAAACATTTAACCACACTTCTTATCCTCTATTTTAAACCTTTGTGAATTAAAATTATACTAAATTTGATAACAAATCATAGAGACTAAAAATATATTATTTTTCCTTTTTTATTTTTATTATTTTTTCAAATAGATTTAGAACATAATTAAATGAAAAAAAATTGTTGTAGGAAATACTTATGAATTTTCACTTGTTGGTGAGTAATCATCAATTTATCTGGATAATCGCACGGCATATGATTCCAAAGTTTGTTCATACGAATCAAGGCCAAGGTTTGAAGAAGTAAAAAATAGTAAGATTGGCATTCAAAAATAATGAAGTGGGATTGTAGATATTCGTTACTAACATTCCCAGTAGCTAAAACATTAACAGTGAATTAAGTTTTTAGTGTTTAGATAGGCAAAGGACTAGTTCATGCTAAAAGAATGAAAAAACCAAAGGACTTATTCTATGGATATGAATTATCTTAGCCAATCCTCATAAGATTATTAGCCTAAATAGCAGTCCTATTTTAGCCAATAAACATAGTATCTTCTAATGTTTTTAAAGTTCCATGGGTTATTTAACATATGCTTTAAAGGTTAAAATCCAATCAAATTTAATAAAATAATATTTTTATAATATATTAAATATATAATAAATTTATTAATAATAATATTTATAAGAATTATAGATTGAGATCAAGAAGGGGTAAATTATCTAAACAGAATTTTTTTGTAACTTTTATACCGATTATAATTTTCAAAGATTTAAAATTCTAATCAAATATTGAACCAACAATTATCAAACAGAATGAAATAAGGAGATAAAAGAAGGATAATAACACCAAGATTTATATTGATTCACCCAAACTACTAGGTTACATCTAGTTCTCAACTAAATTCCAGTTAGTTCCACTAATCAAAATATGTTTGATTACATAAACAAAACACAATCTACACAAAGACTCAATTCTTTGAACCTTGATTGCAACCAAATTCTGAAGCACTTGTTGGATTTGATGAAGACATATTGAGTTTATAAAGTTTATTTTGTGGGTGTGTAGGTAGATAGGTTATAGGTTTAGAATTTAATCTCTTGATAGTTTCAGTAGATCTTGTGATAAGCGCCTATAAATGATGCATTTCATAGAACTTATTTTACTACATGAAAAACCAATCTTTAAGCATTAAAAGAACAAACCGAGTTTTACAATCTGTTAAAAGCGCTTTAATCATTAAAATCACTTAAAATAGGAAATGTACATATACGACCAAAATTTTAATTGATTGAATCGCAGAATCAACAAGGTTAAAATGTTCTTGATGGTTTTTCATATTAAGGGTTCGCAGTATTAATCTGTGAATTGATAAATCAATAGATTAAAATATTCTAGTCATTTTTCATTTCAAAAGTATCTCAGAATTTTAATCTGTTGAAATCAAGTTCAATCTGTTGAAACAGAGATATGTCATTTTTCATTTTAAAATATCTCAGAATTTCAATCTGTTGAAATAAATTTTAATCTGTTGAAACAGAGAGATCATTTTTCATTTTAAGGTATCACAGAATTTCAATCTGTTGAAATATATTTTAATCTGTTGAAACAGAGAGCTACCATTTTTCTTCTAACTGTTTCAATCCATTGAAAACTCGAATTAACCAATTGAATAAGTTTTAAATGAAATCAATCAATTGAAACATCATTTTAAATCGATTGAATCTATTAGTCCCTCTCTTTTACTCTATAAATACAGTTTTGATTTCTCTTTCAAACATATAATTTGGAAAACGATTGAAAGCAATCTTGGAGCTCTCATATTCGTGTCTTTCTCTGAGCATTCATAAACTTTTCATATCATAAGGCGTTTTGATCAAGATTGTTGAAAGATCATCAAGAGAGAAAGTTCTGAGTTAGAAAAATTGCTTCTGGACTTCTATATTGTAAAAGCTGTAGTCCAGGTTCATTCTTTTCATATACTTGTACGAATTCTAATTGTGTATATTGGGTTTGAATCTGCACTGGTTACAGTAATTGGGTTTGGTTGTTGGGTGGTATTTCAAGAGTCTATCTTGTGGTGTTGTAAGGTAGTTCTTGGGGTAGATTGGTTTATATCTACTGGTTTGTATTTTCACTTGGTATTAGTGGAACTTGGCAGATTTGTCAAGAACTGGATGTAGCTCTTGGGAAGAATGAACTAGTATAAACTCTTGTGTTGTATTTCTGCTTTTATCTCTTTTCATTTCTGGTTTATATTCTTGCTTTGTTTAAAACCAAATCTGCCTAATAAAATATTGGATAAAGATTAATCATTCTTCCATAAAGAAAGAGTGTTTTTTGAAAAAGATTTCTAAAGTTCAATTCACCCCCCCCCCTCTTGAACTCAACCATTAATTCTTACAATTGGTATCAAGAGCTGGTTCTTGTAAGTTACTCAAGAATTCGGTCCAAGAAAGGTTTAAATGGCTGAGGGAAAGATGAATTTTTCTGAAGGAGCCTCCATCAATAGACCTCCTCTATTTGCTGGTGTGAATTATTCTTTTTGGAAGTTTAGAATGAAAATCTTTATTGAATCTCTTGATAGGGGTATTTGGGATACAATTGTTAATGGTCCTTTCAAACCAACTCATACAGTGGATGGTAAAATTGTTGAAAAATACTGGGCTGACTTAACTGATGCAGAAAATAGGAAAGTTCAATATGATTATACTGCTAAGAACATTATTACCTCTGCCTTAAATCTTGATGAGTTTTTTAGGGTTTCTCAATGTGTCTTTGCCAAAGAAATGTGGGAGATTCTAGAGGTCACTCATGAGGGTACCTCTGATGTGAAAAGGGCAAGGAAGCATGAATTAATTAGAGATTATGAATTGTTCAAAATGTAGCAAGCTGAAACCATTGCAGATGTGCATAAAAGATTCACGCATATAGTCAACCATCTAATTGGATTAGGCAAGACGTTTGACAAGGAAGAGCTAAACATCAAAATCCTAAAATGTTTGGACAGAACTTGGCAACCAAAGGTGACAGCTATATCAGAATCAAGAGACTTAACTGAGATGACTACTGCATCATTGTTTGGTAAGCTAAGGGAACACGAGTTGAAGATCAATCGGTTTAAAGAATAAGAAAATGCAGAGAAGAAAAGTAGAAACATTGTTCTCAAGACGATTGAAGAAAGTAGTGACTATGAAGAAAATGAATATGAAAATCTGACTCTGTTGGTTAAGAAGTTTGGGAAATTTCTTAAGAAGAAGAACAGAACTGGCCAGGTTAAAAGGTACACTGATAAAAGAACTGATTTTATTCAAAATACTTATACTTGTTATTCTTGTGGTAAGCAGTGGACACATAAGAAGTGAATGTCTAGAAAAATCCAAGAATCAAAACAAGAAAGATATGAAGTACAAAGGGAAAAAGGCCTACATAGCTTGGCAAGACAATGATTCATCCTCGAGTTCTCAGATTCGAAGGTGAAGAAGTGAATCTATGCTTAATGGTTGGTCGTGAATCCTCTTCATCCCATGTAAGTTCAACCCCCACAGAAAATGAAATGAATTACAACACATTACTAACTGCTTTCAATGAAATGCATTATGAAACTATGAATTTATCCTATACAAATAATCGGTTAAAATGACTAAATAACTGGTTAGAGAATAGGGTTAAAGTTCTGGAAGAAGAATTATTAGAAAGCAAAACAGATATGGAACATCTTGAAATAATCTACAATAATTCATCTTCTGGTAATGCTGCTGCTAACAACAATTGTGAAAAGTGTATCTCTCTGTAGAATAAGGTTGAGTATTTGATTAAAACTTTATCTAAGTTTAATCATGGTAAAGAAAATTTAGATACACTTCTTGGGTCTCAAAACTGTGTTTTTGATCATACTGGAATTGGGTACAAACCTAAGTTTGGAGTTAAAACTAAAAGGTATTTGAACTTCTTTTCTTTTAGAAAATCAACATCATCTCCTTTCTCATTTTGTC